AATTAATCCTCACTGACAGAAAATAGCTCAATTTTTCAGGTTAACTATCTTTAATTTTCTGTAGGTACAAAGGCTGAGTAATTTGACCCACTGAGGGAAAAAATAAATTGCTAAGAAATTTTTTAAAAGCCAAATCATAATTATGCTAATTATAATAGAAAGAAAAAAATGTTCTGTACATGATCCTGCAGTGATTAGGAGTAAAATGCCAACTCTTCACAAATGAAATGTTTATGTCAAGTTTGAGCATCTTCTAATAAGCTGACCTTTACAAATCCTATTCTCAGTGACCTTCATTTCTTCACTGATCTGGAGTGAGACAGAGAAACTTGCTCTGAGACAGATAAATTTTAAAGAGTTCTCTTTAATCTCTACCAAGAGAGAAATAGATTTAAAATATGAAGAATAAAGGAGAGCAAGTCAGAAAACAAATCCGTAAGTCTCATCTTTCTTCTCCATAGGTGGTCCTGTTTCTCTAGCAGTATTAGCCCACAAAACTGGGGTGAAGGGTTGGATGGAGGAAACGTGCACATGTCCTTAGTATGTCATCTCCCTGCATATTGAATGGGTGCCTTTGGAAACCTCACCCAATTTGTTTCCCTTGGAACCTGTACAGAGCACAGTCAAACTGAATGCAGTATATAACAGAAGATCTGTGAAGGATAAATCAGCTTCCCTGTTGCATATAGAACATAAAGGAGAAAGGAAATAGATTTCACAATACATGCTGTGGCAATAGGGTCAACAACTGTGTGGTTCTTCTTGCTTTTCTTCCTCCTCCTCCTTCTCATTATCTTTCTCCTGCAGCTCATCTTCCTCCTCTTTCTCCTCCTCCTCCTCTTTCTTCAGCAATATGGTCTTCTGCCTTTGGTGGACTCAGAGGTGGCTCTTCTGCTTCTACTACATATGGGTAAGGACCTCAGCATGGCTCTTTTCTGATGTTATGACTAGGGATCAGCCACTTTCTCAAAGGGGAACATTTTTTGAAAAATAATAACCCTCATTTCCATGGTATCATTAATTCTTGTGACCCCCAAAAGAACTGCATTGAAAAGCATTCTATCTTGAGTATTACCAAGGAAATCAGGTTCCAAACTTTCACCAGGTTTTTAGCCCTTAATGAATGGATAAGCAGTATTAATTCATAATAATTTTCTCTCTCTCTCTGTTTCTCTCTCTCTCTCTCTCTCTCTCTCTCTCTCTCTCTCTCTCTCTCTCTCTCTCTCTCTCTCTCTCTCATTTTTTACTTTGGAAACCCTCAACCAACTTAGAACTGAAATGAAGAAAAACCAGTGCCGTGACCTACACTAATTAACCTGGAATGTCACTATTTCTTTACTTTGGAAAGGAAAGACTGGAAAAATGCTTGTTGTAACATGAGATTCATTAGCAGTCAATAAAACTTTAAGTGTGAACATGAGACAGAACTATGCTTAGCTGAAAGGGAAATGATATTACCAGTTAATGAATAGGACAGTTGTATAAGCCTTTTCTTACCATGATTTTTCAAGGTTGGTAATTGTAAATTGAGTTCTAGCCCCTAAAAGATCTACTGAAGTTCTCCCGAGAAACCTGTGAATGTGATATTATTTGGACATAGCATTTCTGAAGATATAATCAAACTAGGAAAGGTCATAGTTGATTATGGTGGCCCTAAATCCAATAACTTGGGTCCTGGCAACGAGAAATTTGGAGAGAGAGACACACAGGGAGAAGAAAGCCATTGTAAAGATGAAAGCATGTGGGGGACTGCTTTACTGGTTATGGCCAAAGCAGGTGGTAAGCAGTGCAGGCTGTAAAGAGTTAACTTCACACTTGGCTTGTTTTGAGATGTGAGTCTGGCTGAAGCCTACGTGCTGGGGTCAGAGTGACTCACCTAAATTCCGTTCCCACAATTAAAACTTTCTTAACTAGTAGGGTAAGATTCTAATCACAACCCTATATTTTGACTATTCTGTTAGTAATTTGAGAATGCTTTGTCTTTTCACTTATATTCCTTGCTTGCATTAGCAATGTGTCCATAGTGACTGCACGTCCCTTCATGGCCCTTTACCCCAATATAACCATGATGTTATCAATAAATAGCAATGACTTGGACTGGCCTGGGCTCTTGCTGGTGGCTTAGCATTAGCCTTGTGGCTCTCCGATTTTTTCTTTAATTCTGTCTTTGAGTCTGTCCTCAACCTTGTGTCCTACACTGGACAGGAGACTGGAAATCACTGTAGAGATCTCCAGTAATGGCAGAAATCAGAGTGATGTAGCTACAAGTTAAGAATGTCAAATATTGTCAGCAACCAGCAGAAACTAGGAAGAGTCAAGGAAGGGTTTCCCTTACAGCCGTTGGAGGCTTTGCTGACAACTCGATTTTAAACTTTTAGGTTGCAGAACTACAAGGAAATACTTTTTGTTGCTGTAAGCCACCCAGTCTATTTTTTTATGGCAGCCCAGGAAACCAACACAATTATTTTTCCAACTTAGGATGGAGAAACTAATTCAGAGAGGCTGTGTAGTTTTCCAAAGTCATATTCAAAACTCTTATGTCACCTCCATCCTTAACTCTTTGATGGATCCCATGGCCCTAAAGATAAACCCAAACCTCCTTGATAAACCACCCCTGTCATGTTAAAGACCTCATTCTTCCCTTAATACCCATCAAGTTTTTCCAGCGCATTTTTTCAGAGCTGAATGAACTCATGGGAATAATAATTAACACTTTTTGAAAGCATTGTTTTACTTCCACAAAGAAGGTAGATTAGAATTTTTTTTTACATTTTTGAAGATGTATCTTTTTTATTTCAATACATGTTTAATTTTCTCTCTAAAAACCTATAATAAATAAATAAGGAGACTAAGAAGGTTGAAAATACCTATAACCTGGACCTTGGAAAGACACGTTCTAAACTATTAGGTATATTTTAATTTGACATTATGTTTTGAACCTAACAACTTAATTCAGTATACCAAAGACAAAAAAAAGGGCAATTGTAGCTTGTGAATGATCTTCACTGAGTCCAAGGAAGAGGGTGGCAACCAAAGAGAATCTGACTTACTCCATTAAATTCATTTAATTGGTTTTAATAGAGAAACCCATGTTTCTCTATGTTTTGTTCTTCGGATCAATGCAAATTAAAGATTTTGTCTTTATACATGTAAAATTACTTTTGTCTAAAGTATAAATAAAGAGCAAAACAAAGTATAGATAGTGGTCACAGGAAACAGAGAGATCTTTTGCAAAAGGGAAGAGGACCAGGAGATGGAAGAAGGGCAGAGGTAGAGGAAGTAAAGCTAATGAAAAAGAATGAAGATGTGTTATGTTCATGTACCAAATTCCCTTAATCAACATAATCATTATGTCCTGAAAATATGCAATAATAAAAAATAAAAGATAATTTTAGTATCACATTCATTTCTTTGAGACTACAGTTCTCAGTCCAAACTGCATTTACTAGCAACAGGAGATTTTAAAATATTGATGCCTAGATCCCAAGCCCTCGAAACAATAGGTTTGAGATAGAAGCCCAGGATAAATAATTTTTAAAGCTTACCAGGTGATTCTAAGATGTGGCCAATAATGAAAACCACTGCTTTAGACAAAAATGGAGTTGTTTTGATCTGAGTTATCTAGATGATCACCCTCCCTCTCTCAGAAACAGACCTAATTCAGTATATGTTCTGTAGCTACAATGATAGTTTAAGAGAAAATTTTGCATGAGGTTTTTAAAGTTTTGAATATAATTATGGCTATTTGTTAGGTCATTTGTTCCTGAGAATCATCATCTTGCCTCTTATTAGTTTGGTCACCAATCAAGTCATTAGAAAAGTAAGTCCAAGGAGTTAAATACAGCTTCCCAGGATATTGAACATTTATAAATAAGAGCTTTTTGTGGGGGTCACTTTGTTCAATAGGGAAAAATTATGATACATTTTTGCAGAAACAAAATTTACTATTTATTTTAAACCAGGGCTTTTCTCAAGGGCTTTACATACGTGACCTTATTAATCTTTTTGATAATGCCTACTAGGCAGATACATTTATATCCCAATTTTTAAGACAGATAATTGAGTCTTAGAAAGATATACAGGGTCATAAAGCTGGCACATGATGGCACTGAATTTATAGGCTGGAGCTCCAAGCATTGAATCATTAAGTTTTACTATACAGTTTTCCTTTAATTGATTAAAAAACATCTCTTTAAATTGAAAGTTATTCCTGGAGATTAATCGGAAGGCTTGTTCCTTTTTCTTACAAAATAAACTGCAAACAGTAAGAAAGAATTCTTTAATGGTTTTATACTTATAGCATTAACAAATTGGATTTAAATAATTTATATAAAGATGGAGTTAGCCAGGCATGGTGGCACATGCCTGTAATCCCGGCATTCAAGAGGCTGAGGCAGGAGGATCACTGTGAGTTCGAGACCAACCTGTGCTACACAGTGAGTTCCAGTTCAGTCTCAACTACATAGTGAGACCCTGTCTCAAGAAACCCCCAAAATAAAATAAACAAAAATAAAGGAGTTGATCAAAGGCAAGAGTACAGAAAAATTACAAAGACCACAGGATTCTAATTACTTCTCATTTTGTCATTTGGAAACTCATGTTGGCAATCAGTGAAGAATTAAATGTTAAAATACTTTGTGAAAAGCACTATACAAACTATTATTAATTTCAGATTTTCTCAAATTTAATGGTCCTGGGAAAATATGGGCTCTATTTTTCTATAACTCCTCCTTTAGTTTGGTTCTTCAGTTTGATTCCAATTTAATATCTAATGTAATATCATAGTGAGCATCAATAAGTAAGTAACAGCAAGAAAAAAACTATTCTAGTCAAAACTGTGTTTTTTATGAACACTAAGAAATCTTGTCTCTCAGACCATATATAAAAAGCAGGTCATATGCAAATGCCATGAAAACATAAGCTTAGGAAATCTGATTTCTTATATTAACAAAAAAGTCATGATTTTATAAAGTTATAGATTAAGGAAACATACCCAATACCTTACACATGCCATTAATACAGACATTTCTGCTGTTGCCACCTTCAAAGCAAGGGGTGCCATCAATGACAGCATCCAGCATTTTTTCAGAAAATTGGCCATCTATGGGTCGGCAGTAGAGCCCACAAGGATGTGCTGAAGTGAGGAAAAAGACATTTTTAACCAAAAAAAAAAAAAAACCCACACATTTTTTATAAGTTATCTTTTAGCTCAGCACCTTTTTCCCAGGAGTCCTTTATACTCAGGACCCACAGTGACATTTAATCTTGTGTCTTCCCTTTCTGAGACTCATGCTAAGATTTTTTTTTTCTATTTCAGTTTGTTTTACAACTAATTAAATGTAGATGATCATCTTAAAGTCCTACTTGCTGTTCGTTACAAATGATGAGAACGTGCAATCCAACATTAAACTATCAAACTGTGCTTATGAAAATAAGGAAGTAGACACCCAATGTTAACCTAGAAGATACACTAGAGTAAGCAGTGCAGGATTTCTGGCAAGCATATTGCCAACTCACTGTTTATGGCCAGGTACAGACCTGTATAGGAGAGTACAGACTTGTCATGGAGTCAGTTTATAACTAATACCATTACCACTTATCCTCAACAAATATTCTTGCATATTCTTCTCAAATTCAAGATCTTGAGCACAAATTGACAATCACACAGGACTTGCTTTTTTCTGAAGCAGATGTCAACCCTATCTCATGTTGTTTTTATTTAAGCAAAAAAACTGGACACTGTTTTTCTTCAATTCCCATTTAGAAATCTCTTCGGGAAAATTCTGCCATACCATACATGAGTGAACGCACACACAAGGGAACAGCTATGAGGACTAGAGAGGCGTAGCTGCAGACAAGTCCCAGCTAGAGCCCCACTCCAACCCCAGAAGAGAAAAGAGCTGCACAAGTGCAAAACCTTCCTCCAGAGTTCCACGGTGCCATAGGTAAGTGTGCCCACATACCAGGGAGTAGCTGTGTGGACCAGAGTACTGGGACTGCAGGGGGATCCCAGCTATGGCCCACCCTGACCCCAGAGGTGTGGGCACACATCCCAAAACCACAGGCCACCTAGAAAAGAGCTGTATAAGCACAAAACCTTCATCCAGAGTTCTGCCACAACATCAGTAAATGAATGCACACACTGGGGAACAGCTGTGTGGATCAGCTGCAGGCGGGTTCCAGCTAGGGCCCCACTCCACCTTGAACCCAGAGGTGTGGGCACAAGTGCCCAAGCCATAGCCAACATAGAAAAGAGATGCACAGATGTTCAAACTTCATCCAGAGTTCCGTCATACTGTTAGCCACAGCCAAGGACCCACTTGAAAAAGAATTACACAAACACACAAGCTTCCTTGATATAACTAAGTGCTTAAAGACCCTAGCCAGAAGCCTTTACAGACAACAGGAACTGGGATACACAGCCCCCAGCCAAAGGCTCCCCTGGACAATAGCTACGTAAGGGCCCCAGTGAGAGGCAAACCTAGATACCATCCCAAGTGTTCACAGTCCCCAGCCAGAAGCCTGCACAGAAAAAAGGTCAGCTAAGGGATATAGAAGTCCACCATTCTAAACCCAGGAATTGGGGCACTGGGGAGCAGCAGAGTAAAGGCAGCTTTGTGGCCTGCTGAGAATTAAAGACGATGGGGTAAGCAAAAAGTTCCCTCAACAAAGGCAGAGCAGGCCGCATCAGTTGAAATGAGAAAGCACAGAAATAAGTGTCAAAAACCAGACTTCCAAATCACCTAAGGAAACCACAAAGGGAATGAGATGGAACAATCTGATACTCAACCACCTGGACTCCCTGCACTGGCAATGAAAGAGGTCCTGGAAAAAATGAAATTGAAATAATTTCTCAGATAAAGCAGAGATTGCAGCCATAGTAAAAGACATGATTAAAAATCTGAAGGAGACACAGATTAAAAAAAAAAAATAGAGCAGCTGAAAAGCACGATGGATCCCCAACATAGGAAACAAATAGAATTCATGAAACAGATGCAAACAGAACACCATTGAATGTTTACACAGGAGAATGAGCCAATTCGAGGACAGATTTTCAGAAATAAAAGATAAGATTGCAATTAGTGAACAGGAAAAAAAATCGCTTAAAAATAGTAAAGGCACATGAGAGATCAATCCAGCAGCTGCTAGGTGATTCAAAGCAGAATAACCTAAGAGTGATTGGAGTAAATGAAGAAACAGGAGAGAGTACAGATGACTTAAACAAAACAAAACAAACAACAACAACAAAACTGTTCACTGAAGTAATGGCAGAAAACTTCCCAAGTAGGGACAAAGAACCTGATATACAGATAAGTGAAGCTTATAGGACTCCAATTAGCTGTGATTAAGAAAAAATGTACACATAGGCATGTAATAGTTAAGATTCCAGAAACCCAACAGAAGAACAAAATTCTACAAGTGCTTAGAGGAAACAAACAAATCACATACAAACAAAAGCCCATCAGAATCACAGCAGACTTTTCAATCCAAACCCATGACGCAAGAGGAGAGCAAAGTGATGTATTTCAAACCCTAACTTCCAACCCAGATAGAAGTACACTGCAAAATTATCTTTCAAAACTGATGGATAAATAAGACATTTCATAACAAAGAGGACCTGAGTAAATTCATGAATAACCAACCAGCACTCAAAAAAAAGTTAAAGAACATCCTAGAAAAGACAATGATGATTACAACCCCAGAAAGCCAAGCAGAATAAATCCATCAGGTATGAAAAGAAATTAAATACAAAGGGGGAAAATCCAACAAAAAGAAAAGGTCATGACAAGGGAAGTCAATACATACCAGTTATAACCATGAATGTTATTGGTCTCAATGTACCAATCATAAGAAATAGACTGGCAGAATGGATCAAGAAGCAAGATCCAATGAAATGCTGCATAGAAGAAGCACACTTAATTCAAAAAGTAACACATAGACTGAAAGTTAAAGGATGGAAAACAATACTACACATGACAGGAACATGAAAAAAAAAACAAAAAGCAGAAGTAGGTATTCTCTTTGCAGATTGAATGGATTTTAAATCAACACTGATTAAGAGAGACAAAGTAGGACACTACATCTTTGAAAAGGAAACAATCCAAAAGGAAGAGATGACACTCAGAAATATATATGCACCAAGCACAAGTGCACCCAACTATATTAAACAAATACTAACGGACATGAAAATTCATATAAGCACTAATATGCTACTACTACTAGTGGGAGTAGTAGTAGTGGGTGACCTCAATTCTCCACTGTCAAAAATAGACTAACAAAGACAAAAAAATGAACAACGAAATAGTAGAACTCAGTCAAACTCTTGAACAAATGAACTAGACAGATGTTCACAGAGTGTAAAATCAGAATACACATTTTTTTCAGCTGCACATGAGTCATTCTCCAAAATAGGCCAGATACTCACTTATAGAACATGTTTAAGTAAGTGCAAAGGAGTTGAAGTGATCCCCTGTATATTTTCAGACCATAGTGCAATGAAATTGGAGAGCAATAGCAAGAGAAACCACATAATTTAATAAATACATGGAAATTGAAGAACACACTTGAATAAACAATGGGTCATAGAGGAGATCCAAGAAGAAATTAGTTTTTACAATTAAATGATAATGTCAATACAAAATATGAGAATCTGTGGGACACAATGAAACAAGTCTCATGAGGGAAATTCAGAGCAGTGAATACTCATATTAGGAAAGAAGAGCAAGCTCAATTAAAAAAACTGATGCTGAACCTCAAGCTTCTAGAAAAAGAAGAGCAGGACAAACCCAAAGCTCATACAAGGGAGGAAATTGTAAAGATCAGAACAGACATCAGTGCAATGGAGATTAAGAGAACAGTACAAAAAAAACAATGGAGCCAAGAGTTTGTTCTTTGAAAAAATAAACAAAATTGAAAATTCCTTAGCCACCCTAATCCAAAAAAGGAAAGAAAAGGCCCAAATCTATGCAATTGGGAATGAAAATTAGGAAATTACAACAGACCCAGCAGAACTCCAGAGGATCATCAAGACCTACTTGGAGAACATATATGCCAGGAAGATGGAAAATACAGAAGAAATGGACAGATTACTAGAAACATATAAATTACCAAAACTGAGTGAAGAAGCCCTAAACATTCTAAATGACCCAATATCAATCAATGAAATTGAAAATGTAATTAAAAACTTACCGACTAAGAAGAACCTGAGCCCTGATGGCTTCACTGCTGAATTCTGAAAGACATTTAGAGAGGAACTACTGCCACTACTGTTTAAACTCTTCAAAGAAATGGAAAGGGAAGCAATACTCCCAAATACATTCCTGGAAGCAAACTTCACCTTGAGCCCCAAAGCAGAGAGAGACCCAAGTGAAAAAGAGAACTATAGGCCAATCTCACTGATGAACATGGATGCAAAAATCCTTGGTAAGATATTGGCAAATAGAATGCAGGAGATCATTAAGAAAATCATACACTGTGGTCAAGTGGGATTCATCCCAGGGATGCAGGGATGGTTCAACATACACAAATCAATAAATGTAATACACTATATTAATAGAGCCAAGCACAAAGACCATATGATCATCTCAATAGATGAAGAAAAGGCATGAGACAAAATCCAAAATGCATTCACCATAAAGAAACACCTTGCAAAAAATTGGAATAGATGGGCTCTACCTCAATCTGATATAAGCCACTATGAGAAACCAACGGCCAATATCATACTAAATGGACAAAAACTGAAATCCTTCATGCTAAAATCAGGAACAAGACGAGGATGTCCACTATCAATCACCATGTTCAGTGTAGTTTTCGAAACATTAGCCACAGCAATCAGACAAGAGAAAGAAAATGAATGAAAATGGGAAATGAAGAAGTCAGATTATCATTGTCTGTAGAAGACATGATACTCTCTATAAAAAAACCCAAGAACTCTACCAAAAGTCTTCTAGATTTAATAACCAAATTCAGCAAAGAAGCTGGATGCAAGGTCAATGCACAAAAATCAACAGCTTTCCTGTACATGAAAAACAGACTCACTGCGAGAGAAGTGGAACAAACAATTCCTTTCACAGTAGCATCCAAAACATTGAAATAGCTAGGATTCCACCCACCAAAAGGAACTGAAGACCTCTA